CCTCATCTCACTGTCATTTTCACCTGATCTTTTTTGGACACCTCATTTATGCTGATAGCTGGCATTGTGGCTCATTTCTAAACAATTTGTGTGTGCTTCTAACATTTAGCCGTGATAATACTTTTTAAAAGCTTATAATTTTGGGAGAAATACAAGTTGTCTATGAGGTAGTATCCCCAAATATACTGCATCTTTATCCGTGAATGGTGTCAGATATTGGGATAATATTGGCATAGTATTGGGAATCCATAATCTTCTCCTAATAATAGACATATGTTTGCGTAGTGTTGTTGGTTTGTTTGTTTTGCTGAGGAAGATTCCCCCTGGGCTAACATCTGTGCCAGGCTTCCTCTACTTTGTATGTGGGTTGCCACCACAGCATGGCTGCCACCAAGTGGTGTGTGTCCACACCCGGGAACCGAACCTGGGCCGCCAAATCGGAGCACACCAAAGTTAACCACTAGGCCACAGGGCTGGCCCCATGCATAGTCTTTTAATTGAACCTCTTTTTTTTTCAGTTTTTCTGGTTTAAAAAATTGTTATTTTAGATAACACCCTGAGTTTGATGATCTGAAATGAAGTGACACCTTGGTGAGAGCTGTGAAATAACAACCCACACAGTTGGATTGTCCCTTCCCCACTTGACACCTCCCCTGGCATGGCTGACTGCACTCTACCTCTCCTAAAATTGAAGGCATTTAATGTTTTTAACCTTGCTAAGGAAAAATGATTGGAAATATAGTAATATTACCTGACCTTGAGAGGTTGTAAGATACAAAATAAGAAAATATGATACATTACAGAATAAAAGGACAGTCTTACAGCAAACAGAAAACAAAGCTCAGCATGTTTTTTAATATAAAGTCTTTTGTAAATAATATTACAGGATTTTTTTTTTTTTTAAATATCTAGAAAAATGAGGAGGGTATTATAAAAAACCACAAGTCCCCATCACACAGCCTAAACCATTTCATCTAAACTCCCTACTCCATCTCCCCCAGCAACTGCTTCAGTTAAGGCAAACTCCAGAAGTCCTAGCACTGCCTTCCTAAATACTTCAGTGAGAGTCCCTAACAGGCAAGGACTTTTTTGTTTAACTTAATTGCAGTATCTTGATCATACGTAAATATAAACAATAGTTCCTGCATATTATGTAATACCAAAACAGATGTAGTATTCAAATTTTCCTGCATTTATTAAATAGTTTGACAGGTCTGTTTAAAGAAACAGGAAATCCGGCTGGCCCTGTGGCCAACTGGTTAAGTTTGTGCACTCTGCTTCAGCAGCCCCAGATTTCACGGGTTTGGCTCCTGGGTATGGACATGGCATCACTCCTCAGGCCGTGCTGAGGCAGCGTCCCACGTGTCACAACTAGAAGGACCTACAACTAAAATATACAACTATGTACTGGGGGCGCTTTGGGGAGAAGGAAAAATTTTTTTAAAAATCTTAAACAGGAAATCATTTCTTACCACATTTTATATATCTTGATTTTTATTATATTCTATGGAGAACTCCCTTGTATATACTAATTTTGATTGTTTGAAAGAGAACGTACACCACATTGAATTTTCTGATGTTCTGATTTGACTTACTGCCTTCTCATGATGTCTTTGATCATGCTCTCCTATGCCTTGTATCCTCGCAAAAAGGTAGTTATTTTAGAGATCAGATCAGATTCAGAATTATTCATATGTGGCTATGTCTACTTTTTGCATCACTTTATAAAGCACATGATATCTTATTTTTCTCTTTTTGTGAGATTGTGATCAGTGTAGTCAATATATTGACTATACCTGAATCCCTATGTCACCTAAGGGGTTTGGCAGCCATTGACAATTACTGCCTGTACCCTTAGTATAGGTGATGGTCCAGGTCTACCTTCCCTTTTCTTTTCTTTTTCTTTTATTTATTTATTTATTTTAAAGATTTTTTTTTTTTTCCTTTTTCTCCCAAAGGTCCCTAGTACATAGTTGTGTATTTTTAGTTGTGAGTCCTTCCAGTTGTGGCGTGTGGGACGCCGCCTCAGCACGGTCTGATGAGCGATGCCGTGTCCTCACCCAGCCCAGGATTCCAACCGGTGAAACCCTGGGCTGCTGAAGCAGAGCACACGAACTTAACCACTCGACCACAGGGCTAGCCCCCCCTTTTCTTTTATTAGGTGGAACACTTTCTTTACAAAGAAGAAAGTTACTGAAGAAAAAGTTCAGGTAAAAGAAGATACACAAAAATATTTTGATTCTTTTATTTATCCTTTCTCAGTGTGATGGTTTGATCCTTTGCTGTTTTCCAAATGTGAAGATATTTTTCTTTTAGTAATAGTAAACATAGAATTTTAAAAATTTTATATTTTTGTCCATTGTAAGTATTAGTTTGATGCAGAAAATATCTCCTACTTAACCATTGGGAATTGTTCACATTAGCTCTTATGTCCTGTTCACATGATACCAGTGGCCTTTGATAACTCCCTTGCTTTCTTGTACAGTGAGGTGTCTGGGCTTATTTTCTGTTCCTCCTGCCCTAGACGTGGGTTCAGCCAATTCCTCAAGACTCCTTATTTTCTTTAAGTTAAAATGATGTTTGGGGAAAATAGACAGATATGCAAAGATGTATCAGTAGATAAAGGCATAGACAGCTGTAGAGATATATAGACTTAGATATATAAATATAATTAAAAATTAAACCATTTTTCTCAATAATGTTAGTGAAATGTTTTACATCATTCAGTTATTTATTAGTGTAGAAATAGAGTGAAATTATTGAATTTAAAATTAGATAGAAATAATTTCTCTTTGTTTGGCTAAGGCCTAAGATTTGATACGCAATTATATTTTTATTTTATTTTTAGCTTTTTACTTTGAAATAATTATAGGCTCACAGGAAGTTACATAAATAGTATGAAAGTCCCATGTTCCTTTCACTCAGCTTCCCCAAATGGTGGGTGACATTTTATGTAACTGTAGTATAACATCAAAACCAGAAATTGACATTGGTACATCATTGTTAATTGGACTACAGACCTTATTCACTTTTCACCATTTTTAATGTGTGTGGGTGTAATTCTCCCAAATTCTTGCCATATATAGATTCACATTATCACCACTGCAGTTAAGATACAGAACTGGTCTGTCACCACAAAGAGTTCTCTCATGCTGTGTTTAAAATGTATTCACACCAGCCCCACACCCCACTCTTGTCCCCGTTCTCTGGAAACCACTAATCCATTCTCTATCTCTGTAGTATTGTGATTTTTGAAGAAGGTATATAAATGGAATGGCATACTACAGTATGTAGCTTTTTGGTATTTCTTTACTAAACATAATGGGCTTAAGGTCTGTTCAGAGTATTGCATGTATCAGTAGTTCCTTCCTTTTTACTGCTGAGTAGCACTCCATGGTATGGATATACCAGAATTTGTTCAATTATTCATCCATTGAAGGACATTTGGGTTGTTCCTAGTATTTCACTATAATGAATAAAAATGCTATGAACATTCATATATGAAAATAAGCTTTCATTTCTCTGAGATAATTGCCCCAAGAGTTTTTATTTCATTTTTGTGAATTGTATTTTAAAATGTTTCATGGGCCAGCCCTGTGGCCATGTATTTAAGTTCGCACGCTCCACATTAGCGGCCCAGGGTTTCATCAGTTTGCATCCTGGGCGTAGACATGGCACCACTCATCAGGCCATGCTGAGGCGGCATCCCACACGGCACAACTAGAAGGACCTACAACTAGAATATACAACTATGTACTGGGGGGCTTTGGGGAGAAGAAGAAGAAGGAAAAGAAAAAGATTGGCAACAGATGTTAGCCCCGGTGCCAATCTTTAAAAACAAAACAAAACAAAAACAGCAAAATGTACATTTAAAGGAATCTGTCTTTAATCCTGTCTCTTCCACGTTTTTCCCTCTCTCTTAATAGATACCATTTTTATAAGGTTTTAAAAACTTAATTTAAGTATTTAATATAAGCACATACACATATATAAACACACAAATAAATTAATTTTCTTCCTATTTTTAGGAAAAAAGAGCTATCTACATATGATATTCTGATACTTTTTTATAATGCAAAATTATGACCTGAAAGTTAAACAGTAGAGAAAATTTATTGCTTGTGTCCACAACTATCTAATGCTTATTCTATCTCCCATTGATAGATTTTAGGTTGATTCTTATCTTTGTTATTACAAAACAATCTACGCAAAATAGCTTTGTAATTATGAAAGACTTGCTCTTAAAATTATTATTAAATTGAAACCATTTATGTGAGTGAAGAAATTTTCTGGTGTAATGATAATGACCTAATAATCTTTCCTTGTCGTTGGAGTCCTCTGATTCAAATAAAATCAGCCTCTAACATACACTCTAAATTGATGAAGTAGTTTCTACTAACTTAAGTTTGAATATTATCTTCCTTACTCAGACTAGAGTTGAGATTCTTGGAACTTTCTCCACTCTTTTGTTTATAAGTTTATGACTTAACTTTGTAATTCAAAATGGGGCGTGTGTTGAGACCCACAGAGGTGGGTCAGTTGGTCTTTGCTAACAAGTTGGTTCTGTCCCTAAAGAAATCATCTACCAATGGCAAGTTTTTGATTGAATGATCCTGGATGTAAACTTGTCTTCTGTTTACACAGAATGGGCATGAGGCTTGGCCTCAGCTTGACTTGCCTCCTGAGCTGTTTCCAGACCATTAAGCTTTGTCCCGCTACCTCTCTGGATGAAACTCAAATTTGATTCCCAGAATACATTGGCTTCACTATTTCCTCTGCTGGATCCTGAAACTCTTTAGTATATATCAATATTCTTATGAGAGTGACAGTTTTGTTGAGGAGCAGAAACATAAGTGTGGGAGAAAATATATGCATATTTTCCTGGGATATTCCAGACAGATTAAAAGACTGAGAAAATATAGTCAGCATCTGTGATACAGATATAATGTGTTTGAGCCTCATGGTCTGGCTAACGGCTCCACTGTCTTTGTTCTTTGCAGATACAAGCAGTGAGTCCAATACATTCTCAGCAATAGACTTTCTTCCGGAGCCACATGCACCATCCTGATCCTGGTGAGCATGTTTGGCTCCTTTTACTTACTCACTTCTGTTTTGTCCTTTTTGATAGCCCTGATTGTGAACCCAAGCCATTGGCTGATGAACACCTTTCTTGACTTGTGTCTTCATGTTTCTCAGCATTTCATTCCTTTGTGCTCATTAATGACAGCTGTGTCTCTCAGTTCTGCTTTGCCTGCTGGGCAAGGAAAACATCTTTTCCCAAATGTAGCCCCTGGGCTCTACGTTCCCTCCAGGACATTCTATCATGTGTTTAATAAATTTATCATCTCAAACTATGCCAGTTAATCTGCCAGGAATTTTGCATTCAGTATTGAGTAACAATTGTAATAACCCTGCCCTCACAGTATAGTCATGAGTTGCTTAATGACGGGGATACATTCTGAGAAATGTGTCGTTAGGTGATTTCGTCATTGTGTGCACATCGTGAGTGTACTTACACAAACCTAGGTGGTATAGCCTAGTACACACTTAGTCTATATGGGACTAATCTTTTGGGGACCACCATCTTATATGTGGTTCATGACTGTAGTTGTAGGATACAAAGAAACCATTGTGTGAATAATTATTCAAAGATGATGCTCCAAAATTGTGTAATGTTATTTCACAGAATTTCATGAAAATGTAATGTACAGCTTTTTCAGATTTGGGGGGTTTGACAGTAGAAATTCAATGCTGATTTGAATTTTAAGCTAACACTCAAAATGTTTATCTTGTAAATATAGGTGGGTAAAGAATGTCTCAAGTGAACAGGAGATGAACTGGGGATATTCTGACTTGGGAAGATGGGAAGATGGATGTAGACTTCAATTAATATAAATATTGTTAAAAAACAAAATTCAACTGAGTAAATTTAGGCAGCATCCCATCTAGCATGTATCTAATGTGTTAACTCTTTACAGGCTTTACGTCAGCGCTCAGTGGCTTCCCTAGATGGTCCTTTGAATAGGGCTTCATTACCTGGAAATACTGAACCCGTTAATTTTTTCCACAAGAAAATTATAAGCTTTAAAATGTTTTCTAGGGGCCGGCTCTGTGGCTGAGTGGTTAAGTTCGCGCGCTGCACTGCAGCAGCCCAGGGTTCAGATCCTGGGCGCAGACATGGCACCACTCGTCAGGCCACGTTGAGGCGCATCCCACATCCCACAACTAGAAGGACCTGCAACTAAGATATACAACTATGCACGGGGGGTTTGCGAAGATAAAAGCAGAAAAAAAAAAAGAAGAAGAAGAAGATTGGCAACAGTTGTTAGCTCAGGTGCCAATCTTAAAAAAAAATAAATAAATAAAATAAAATGTTTTCTAATTCAAGATCCCAAAAGTTATCCTTGGCATACCTATTGTATATTTTCAAGAATGCACATATTTTGGAAATGTTCTTTGTGCTTATAATCATGCAGTGGTCTGTGTGCACATGCAGCATGCAGGCAGGCATGCATTTATGGGTAGGACTTGTCCTTTCCAGGTACCTCAACTTACATGGTTTTGCCGAGCAACTCATAGCATCTTTCATACCAAATGATTTGTATACATTCAGATTAGCAAATCACCATCACAAAATAATTTTCATGGAGAGTGGGTATGATCTTTGGCAACTCAATTCAGGAGTAAATTCCTCAGAACATCCTTAAAGATTCTATATCTTCATCTACTTAAACTCACTAAATATTTAGATAAAGTATACATATATAGAGAGTAGTTTTATTCATTGCTTTAGATCAAACCCACTCAGTAAGTCAGAATTACCTCAGTGCAGGAATGAGCACACATTCACAGTGCTCCAGTCTTTCTGTTCTCTATTCTCAGCCCTTGTGTCAGTATCTCCTTACGCTATCTTTTAGTGGATTCTACATCAACACAAATAATAAAAATAGAAAAAGGCTCAGCTTCAAAAGCCATGTGGGCTAATGAACACAATTGGTGTCAGTCTACGTGACTATATAATGTCTACATGAGTGTAAGTCAGCTGATATAAAATTTGGGAGAATTTGGTTTGGAGCTTAATGTTTTTAACCCATATCTGTTAAGAACCCAAAACTTAGGCAGAAAGTAGTAAAGAATCCAAAAATTTGCCAAAGTGTAAAGAAAGTTGTGCATTAAGAATTAGTTTTTGAAACCTTTAGAATTGCTTTCATTTTCTTCAAGTGTAGGTTCTGGTTGTGAATCTGTAACAGGGTCTGACTCGTACTCCTGTAAATGACTGTGAAACTGGACAAAACAAGAAGCAAGTGCTTTCAGATGTTGGAAAAAACACTGGGCTGTGACCCTTCAGAGAATGAAAGCATAGCAGGTGAGGTTGCATTCTTCCCAATTTTCTGCAGAGGTCTTTTTTATCTTGTCCCTGATCACTATACTGAAACTCACAAACTCTTCAGGCTCCGGGAGTGAATGATGTGCACAAGAAGAGCAGTACGGCTGAGGTTTATTAGCTTTCAGCTGCAGTGGACAGTGTGTGAGTGACTCCACGGAACGTTATGTCCACTTGAATGTGTAACCTTTGGGGGCGTCTGAAATAATATTTTTAGCCTCTGGAGCATGCTAAACTTTATGGAGTCTGAAATAATGTCTCTAAATACTTAAGTGATCAGTTGCAGGCAACTCCGCAGGAATCTGGACACGGCCCCTTTAAGAAGGAACGACGCCCTTCCTCCGCCCTCGGAGCCAGGACACCATTTCCCAGCGCCCCCTGCGGTGCTGCTCCGCCTTCGTTCCATGAGGTTCCAATGTGGCGCTCTTCTTCGAGGCCTTTGGACCTGTGAGGACTACATTGCCCAGAGGATCCTGCGCCGAGCGACGTCAGCGTTGAGCCAATGAAGGCTCAGGAGAGGGGCGCTTCCGTGTGTGCCATCACAGCGGGGCGGGACTTCCGGCGTCCCCCTCGTGGCGGTCGTTTTGGCTCCTCTCAGGTGTGTTTCCCATTCGGAGGCTCCGGGGCTTTGTATCTGCACCGAGGTGACAGGAGCGAGAAGGTGCGACAGGAGTCGTCGTCTCTGCCGCGCACAGGCGGGTGTGAAGCGCCGGGCTGCAGCGACTCTGCCTTCAGGTCTCGGCAGGGCGGCGCCCGGGTCTTCTCCAGCCGCTCCGCCCCCGAGGCCGATGGCGGCGGCCGCGCGGAGGGAGCCGGCTCAGGTGAGCGCTCGGCTCCGGCCCGCCCCGCCCGCAGCGCAGCCCGAGCTCCAGGCCCCGGGGCCGGGCCGGAGAGGCGCTCGTGGGGCCTGTGGCTGCGGGCGGGGGCCGGGCGGAGGGTGCGGCGGGACCCCGGGTCGGCGTTGTGTCCGCAGGGAACAGTGTGAGGAGGGGTGTCGCTTGGACCGGGAGCTGGGAGGGTTGTGAACAGAGAGAGACACAGTGCGTGTTGGGGTTTAAAACGTTCTCCAGGAGCTGCTCGGAGAGAACAGACTAGAGAGGGTTGATGGTAGTGAGATTAAGTCCTTGTAGGGGTCACACAGTTGGTAAGAGCCAACACTGAGGACTGAATGCCAAAGTTTAGATAGCCCGAGGCTTCTTGCCTCCGAGGGTGGGTTGGGCAGAGGTACAGTGGGGACCAGAGCCCACTGAGCCCCACCGTGGCTGCCTGCCTCTACTAACCTCTGCCCGCTGGCTCCCATGACTGTCGAAGCACTTTGGAACCTGCACAAAATAGGGCGAGGATGCCCGACATCTTCACTGGTCCTGACCTGTCAGTATAGCGTCCGAGCTTGTGATGTTTTGGGATTCTTCACCTGCTGTTCTCTCAGTCTTTATGTCTAGGACACTGGAAGAACGTTCAACGCAGCCTGGGGCTTATATAGAGGTGGTCCCAACTCTGTTAGTCAGTAAAACGAGGTTGTCATGGGTACTGGTACCAGTATGTGCAAAATGGTGAAGGTGAGGCTGAATTGGAAGTATTCAAGGAAGTGTAGGTCTCCTTTCCCATCTTGTAGGTCTTTTTTCTTTCTGATGGGAACAGAGAGCAGGGAGGCAGACCTGCAGTGTCTCCATAGGAAGTTGGGCCTTTTTTTTTTGAAGGTGGTAGAAGCAAAGGGAAGTTTGGATCATAAGATGGAGGTGGTCTTACTTATCCCTTAACCTGTTCTATTCAGCTGCAGAGGAAACAAACTGGGAGGGTAGGGAGGAGGCTACCACAATAGACTAGGTGAGGTGGATGTAAACTGTGGCCATGGAGGTGGGAGAAGTTGTTGGATCGTAGATTCATTATTTTAGGTTGCATCAGTCAGATTTTTAATGTAGAGAGTGAGGAAGAGAAGGGGAGGAGTCAGGGATGACCCCCCCCCCCCCAAGGTTTTTGTCTTAGCAGCTGGAGGCATGGGAGCTCCATTAACTGGCTGAAGAAGTCAGCAGTGGGAGTAATTTTTATAGAGGGTGTCAGGGGTTTTGTTTTGGACCAGTTAAGAGTCTGGCATGTTTCGGAAAACTGAATGGAGGCTTCAAATGGATAGAAGCATATAAAGGTCTTGCTATTTGAGGAGATGTACAGCGTTAGACATATTCAGGTGGTGGCTACTATGTGGTCATAGTGGAGCTTTGGGTCACATTTAGGAAGAGAAATTCAGGCCATGGTCGTTATGTTAACAGGCAGGAAGAAGAGGATGGGTACCAAGTCTGGATCTCTTTCTTGGGCACCTGGGCGGAGGAAGTGGCCTCTCAATCACAAGTGAGGGAAAAAAGTGGCCATAACGTGGGGAGAGGAGAAAAGGATAATCTGGCACGTGGCTGAGGCTTCCAAGGGAAGAATGGACATGAGATGAATGTAGAAGCCTAGGAGTAGCTGAGGCAAGGTGACCCTGAGGCTGGGGCTGCTGCTCATTCACCATTCTTGACTCAGCACAATTTTATGGTGACTTTTCATGGAGCCTGGGGTGTTGCAGTGAGGCCAGTAGATGAGCTTAGGTGCAAATATGGCCATCTGTGAGTAAGCCTGGTATTACAGGCTGAATTGTGTTCCCCTAAAATTTATGTGTTGAAGTTCTAATTTCTAGGACCTCGGAATAGAATTGTATTTGGAGATAGGGTCTTTAAAGAGGTAATTAAGTTAAAATGAGGCTATCATATGGGGTCTAATCCAGTTGTCCTTATAAGAACAAGAAATTTGGACACAGACACAGAATATGCAAAAGAAACTAATCCTGTCCATGCTTTGATCATGGTACTTTAGTTTCTGGAACTGTCAGAAAATAAATTTTTGTTGAAGCTGCCCAGTATGGTACTTTGTTATGGTTGCTCTAACCATTGATTATAGCTGAGGAGTAGGGCAACTAGGGTTGGGCTTTGAATAAGGGTAGGTGAAAAGAAAAGAGCTGTGACTGGTGAGGGGACCTCAAGTACAGCACAAAGTGGGAGGAGGACCAGGAGTATGTAAGATCCAAGACAGGCGGGCCAGCCTTCACAGTGGATTTGAGGCTGTCCCAGGAAGTGGAATCCAACAGAGGTCTGGGGTCGAACTGTCTGTCTGTCTGACTTTGCCAGGTACTCTTGGTACCATACAATGAGTAATGTGGGGGTGTGGTTGGGGGTGCACGGACACAAGAAAGGTGTGCACATGGAAAGGGAGCAGGAGCTGAGGGCCCCAGGGCCTTGATATTAGGGACTCCAGAGTGAAGGGTGAGACCACATTTGATTGTACTTAGGAGGATTGCCTGGCTTGGGGCTGGTCAGGCCCTGGAGGCCAGGCCCTGAACCTAAATTGTATCTCTCTGCCACCTGCCTGTTATTACTGAGGGCTAGCCCCAGTGATGAATGGGACAATGAAGAGAGAGTAACATCAGTGGCACCAGGGCCCACTACCACCTCTGAGTTGGGGAGCTTGGGAGGAGGATGAACATGGGGTTAGATGCGTGGGGGGTGGATTGTAGGTCTTTGGAGAGGGGCTGTTTGTGGTTTCATATCTCCCATTCATGGCAGGGCAGTGTGACCTTTGAAGACGTGGTTGTATACTTCTCCTGGGAGGAGTGGGGTCTCCTTGATGAGACTCAGAGATGCCTCTACCACGATGTGATGCTGGAGAACTTTGCCCTTGTGACCTCACTGGGTAAGGCCCTCCCTCTCCTCCAGTGCACTGAGCTAGACT